CAGGAGGTGATGCCGGAGCCCTGGGCAAGAGCCACCAGCGCAGGCAGGAGGCCACTGAACCCTTCGCCCACAAAGAAGGTGGTGAGGTAGTGGGTGGGCAGCCGGCTCATGAAGGGCAGGAAGGTGACGGAGGAGGTGCAGTCCACCAGGGCCAGGAGGAAGGTGAGGACGATGAAGGCGACGCTGTGCTGGCCGCCCAGCACCCAGGAGGTCATGTTCCAGAGGAAGGCGAAGAGGACGCAGGCGATGGTGCCCACAACCAGCACAGCGAAGACCACGGGCACCTCAAGAAGGCAGCCGGGCCGGAAGTGGTGCAGCAGGGTGACCAGCAGGGGGCCGACATTGGCCAGCTGGATGACCACCGTGAGGTAGGAGGGCAGGTACCAGCCCTCGGGCAGCTCCGTCACCAGCAGGGGCAGCTCCACCCAGAGCCCATTGATGGCCACCCAGGAGCCCATGCCGAAGACGCAGACCAGCAGGTGGGTGAGGGCGGCCATGGCGGGTCTGTCCCGGGCCAGAGGCCACCGTGTGTCCAGGTCCGTCTGGGATGGGCTAACAGAGGAGGACACCAGGTGAGAGAGCTCAGAGTCAAGTTCATCACCAAGCAAGAGACGGTGCTTTGGGGTTCAGGGTCCCCCCACCCCGCCCCTTACTTTTCTCCCAGTGAATAAGTTTGCTTTGTATCAGCGGAAAACACAAATGCATTTATAAGTAGCCTCTGAATAAGGTTTTCTTAAGCACAATTTGTAAATCCAGGGACCACAAAAGAAAAGTTTGAGACATTCACAGGAGTAAATGTTCACGCACACACATGCAAACAACAACAACAACAACAAAAAACCTGCAAAAAGTCCAAGGGTGGCCGGGTGTGGTGGTGCACACCTGTAATTCCAGTGGTTCAGGAGGCTGAGGCAGGAGGATCTCAGGATCCAGGCCAGCCTCCGAAACTTAGCAAGACACTGTCTCAAACAACAAAACCCCAGCACCTCCTCCTTCCAAAACAAGGACGTGGGCAACATAGTACAAGGTACATAGGCTCATGTTTCTAATTCCTAAAAAGCGGTATTACCATCAAGAACAAAAGACCCAAGAAAGGAGGGGTCCAAGGATAGGATCTATCAGCTTAGAGGAAAGGTACCAGGAAGTGTGGGACGCAGGAAAGATGACCACTCTCTTGCAATCTGGAAAATGAATGCAAGGTGCCATTTCTCACCGTGAGATTGTCCTACAGCCAAAGGTCACCTGCGCTGAGTGAAATGACTGATGGACAAGGTCAGCGTTGGCTGCCCCCTTGCAACAGCGAAAGGTGGGAGACAGCGGCAGAGGCCAGGGGAGGCTCAGTGACCTGCAGGGACAGCCCACCTGGGCAGGCTGAGGACGGGGGAGGTCTCCCCGGCGACAGGCAGAGGTCTCAAAGGGGGCGAATCCAGGGGGCAAAACCCCAGATAGGGGAGGAGGAAGGACGTGGTCCACGCTGTATTTGCCTAAAGCGACCTGACACCCGGGGTCCCTCAGTCCAGATCTTTTAGTGTTGTTCTTGTTTTTTTTTGTACTGGGCATTGAACACAGGGACACTTGACCCTGAGCCACATCCCCAGCTCTTTTTTATATA